CTCCCAAGAAACCCGACGTCTCCACGGGCAACGCATTCATGCCAATATCCAGGCATACATCCAGGCTCTGCACGCCTACAAACACAATGTATGAAGCTAAAGACGAGACATCGTTAACGATAAACTGTCTGCGTGCGCACAGAGTAACTGTCAAAACGATCTCCATACTTCATTTTAATGTCACTCCGCATAAAGTGACACTGTCAGCTGTGGAGGGCATTCTGCATTAACGGGTAAAAATAAACAGGAAAACTATGGGATGCACTCGCCACTCTGCCACGTGCAGGAAACATCCTTCACCAAGGATACTTAACTGAGTAAAACGTCCTTAACAAACAAAAAACAAATACAAAAACAAGAACAACAAAAAAAAAGTGAGTCCAGCTACTAGTTTTTATTTTTATTTTTATTAAAAATGAATCATATGATTCAGAGCTTTGTCAGTCCTATATTATTTTTTACTGTACATAAGAATTCAGTCATTCCTGCAGGTTACTTTTCTTTCCACTGGCTTTATTGTTTTTCTCATTCTACTTTCTCAAATACAGAGTTACTGCCTGGTATGACTTTTAATATTGCAAAACATCCACATGAACACCCAAACACAGGCACAAGGACACTGAGTCACCTACTTCCTCAGATATATAAAAATAAACAAAAGATAAAAATCCCACATGACCGATTTCAGCCACATTCACAGCACAGCGAAAACAAGAAAATCAAGCAAACTTATAAAACGGCGTAACAGCAACTGTACAACAGTTCAGCATTTGTGCCAATATCCCAAACAGTCACCTGTCACACATTAGGTACGCCTATTCAAACGCTCAATAATGCAAATGCCTAATTAGCCAATTACAACTTTTACAACTTAGTACTTTTAAGTAAAGAGACAAGGTCAAGATGCATTAGAAAGGGGAAGAAAGGTCACTTAGGCAACTTTGAATGTGGCATGGTTTTCGGTGCCAGAGTGGTTGTGCTGAGTAATTCAGAAACTACTGATGGTTCAAAAAAGAGGAAATATCTGATGACTAGCAGTGCTCTAGAAGAAAAGACCTTGCTGATGTCCGAAGTCAGAGGGGAGTGACCAGACTTCTTTGAACTGATAGCAAGGCAAAACTAATAATCATTCACTACAACCAAGGTATGCAGAAGAGCATCTCTGAACACCCTGAAACCTTGAAGCAGATGGACTACAGCAGCAGAAGAGCACACAGGGTGCCACTCCTGTCAGATATTAATCTGCACAGGCTCACCAACACTGGACAATGGACCGTAAAAAAAAACATTGCCGGTTGTGACTAGTACTTTATGGAGTATAACCATTTTCTCTAACTGAGGATATATAATATGTGGTATTTTACAAGAAAAAAAAACACTCTTTTTGTAGTAGTCCTGAAAAATTAATCAAACAAGAAATGATCCTTTAACCCTTTATTGACCGGCCCTTCAAATTTACCTGTAAAATGAGCCCGCCGGTGGGCCCATGATCAATAAAGGGTTAATAAACCAGCTATTTGATTGTAAAATACAAACACAACATATTGTGGTTAAATTTCTTGTCAGCATCTCTCACCTTGAACGACACCCCAGGGGTACTGTCTGGCCCTCACTGCTTTGTTCCCCACTTTGACTTCTTCCACACTCCCGACTACAGCAAATGGCAGATGGGCCTGCACAGAAAAACAGGTTAGTGTCGAAAAGGTTTTTACAAAAAAAAGTTCTTACTGGTGCAATAAGCAGGGGACCAGGGTACACTGCCCTAAGGAGATTTTTTTTATTCTTCACAGAACAAGTCAATTTTCAGTAGGCTGTGGTGTAAACTGTACTAAAACGAACAGGACGGATAAGCTGTTTCACTGTGTTTGTCTGCTCTCTTATCCATCACAACCAAACCACACCAGTGCAAAGCGTAACCATGTTTACATATGAGCTGCACCAGTGATCGGTTTCACGTTTTAAAACAAAATGGGTCTCCCAACTGCGGCTCAGATGGGAGACCTATTTAGTTGAAGTGATTAAACACACACGCTTTATTATTGCTCTCGGAGCTACTATGCTTCATTAAGACCAACAGTGAGGAGGCATCGCAGGGGAAACATGCCTGACACGCTACCTCAAAAATTAGATGGCGAGTTGAAACCAGCTGGCTGGTTACAGCTCAGAGGAACCAGCAAGCTGGCGAGTGTGGGTGCTGATGTAACCAACTATGAATAGACTGGGATACTGTACAAGGACAGTGCCTCGGAGAACCAAATGCTGTCTTGTTCACCATTTTTGTACATGCGTGGGTGTGTGTTTAAACATTATGATTATACATGAGAGGCATAATAAATTCTGATCTAAAAATAGACAGATATTATCATGAAAATGCACTTGTGCCTGATGCTTCAGCAAAGGTCTGTAGCATACGTTTAATTATAATCCTACTTGTAAGATGAAACTTAAGTTGGAGTAATATCATAAAGTTTATGCACTTTTTAAATTTTTTACCTAAACCAAGGAGGTTACATTTTTGGTAGCGCTTGCGTGTGTGTGCATTCAATTTTGTCATTCTGTCTGCAAACACACTTGCATATAAAAGTCTTGCATGAATTCTGATCAAACTTTGTAGGACTGTAGAGTGGAGTTGTGAAGGTCAAAGTGATAATAATGCTAGACAGAGCCATTTAAAATTATGTTTCTTACTGCTACTGTTTGTATTATTTTGTATAGGTAATGATATATGGTGAATCTAAATATCACGTCACTTTGGGCCTCTTCTTCAAGGTCAAGTAAGGTCAAACTTTCATAAAATGCTTTTTATCTTTTAAACTACGCTTAAAATGTACTGTCTTTGTCTGTATTGACAAGTGATACTGATACAGTGGGATGCAAAAGTTTGGGCAACCTTGTTAATAGTCTTTATTTTCCTGTATAAATCGTTGGTTGTTACAATAAAAAAAATTGTCAGTTAAATATATCATATAGGAGACACACAGTGATAGTTGAGAAGTGAAATGAAGTTTATTGGATTTACAGGAGAATATACACATGGAATCCCCATGTGTATATGGGGATTCCAAATATCACATAATAGTTTGCATCCAAATATCATGTAACATTTGACCTCTCACCTTATATCTTTAAAGAAAGCTTTATGAAGAGAAAGAAAATGAGCTGACTGGTTATATAGAAGTATACTTCAGTAAAATATTATATAATAATACGCAAAAGTTATTCATACCCAGTTATTTATAATTCAATTACCTACTCCTCCATTAAGTTTATATACAAAATAATTAAAAGTAAATAAGGCCCAGAGAGTGAGCTCCCATGGCACAGGTTTGTGCACTCAGAGTGCCTGTTATGGTTATGCTTGCATAGGCAGACTAGTGCAGAACTTCTTTTTAGTTCTTGTTACGAACTAAAAAGAAGAATAGAAAAGTGCCAATCAGTGCAATCAGTTGGTACAACGACATATGATCCTTGTATATAGCTACATACCCACGGTTAGCTAGTGTTCGCAAATATTATAAATATTTTACAAAGCATACAGTCAAAATTGTGAGACTGTAATTCATCTGCATTGAAACACTGACTCTTTATTTATGGTGTTTTAGTCAAAGCATATGTTACCGTCATTAAAACAAAGAATGTTTTGACTTTTTAAGTGTTTTTGTGCCAAAAATATTACTTACATTCATGGAGGCATTGATCTCACTGACAGTTTCGTCATCTGTTGGGAACTGATATATCTGGACGCCGTTGCTCACCAGCTCGCTCATTATCTTTATTTTGAATTTATGAAGCTCGCTCTTGGAGATTGTGTCCGCTTTGGCAATGATGGGAATTATGTTGACCTGCAGAAATAATGACAAAAAAAAAAAGTGAGATAGTTATTAAATATGAGGTGCACTGCACTGTTGTTGCTAATGTGGTGGAGTCTTCCAAAAATGATAATGCAAAGACGTTTTGTGTTACATTATGGAAGCATTTGGTTTAGCCTGGTTTAAACGTTGACATGACAAAACAAAAGGATGCACAGGAAACACTCGAATGTTTTCAGATTATGACAGATTACAGCAATTGCCATCTAACCATCATGAGCAAACACTGCTTAAAAAAAAAATTTAAGCTACATTAAATATGTTGAGGTTTTAAACAGCTGTGTAGCGCATCTATAAGACCATGCACAGTTAACTGAATAGCAAATAAGCCCAATCAGAACCCCGACTGATAAATAAAACAAACAGTGATTATGAAAACAAACTCGGCTCCATCTACAATCAGCAGCAGATGTGAAGAAATAAACGCACAGTTTGTCTGCATTCCTCTGTACGGCTGCATTTCCCAGATCACCAACTGGGAAGATGGCAGGACTCCCACAGATCCACACAGCAATTCCACAGCGTGCCTTAGAGTATGAGTCAGAGCTTGTTAAAAATCAAATTTGAATCTCATCATACTTTGTTGGCTCATTAATTTGCAGCGGGGTGGCCAGTATCAGGTTTTAACCCTAATATAACAAACTAATTTAACTAATCTCGGTGTTATATTTGCTCGCTTCCCACAACTGAGTTTTCCCAGCTGACCAAAGATCATTCCCAAACAGTTAATGTTTGTTCTGAGGGACCAGGAGCGCCAGCTGTGACCACATTAAAGCAGTTCACAGGAAAGATAATCCCTGAAAAAACAGCCCAATATTTTTGGCACTTTGTCATTTAATGTTATACAGGGAAATATCTCTGAGTGTGCAGGTGAGACCACGCTGATACAGTCTGAGCCTTAATAATGAAAACGCTTACAGAACAATATAAAAACACCTAATATGAATGGATCCCATTATTATTGTTTGTGTTACATAATTATGTGGATAATGAGCTGCTTAACTCAGTTTTCATAATGAAGTTCCTGTAATTTCTGGGCTTTGGTGAACAAGAAATTGGTGTACAACACTGCTGTGGAGTCAATTACTCACCTTTTTTAAAGGCTGGATTTATTTATAGATATAACACTGCTATGATAAATTACTTATTGCATGCCGCTCGTAATAGATTAGTTTGAATCATCATGTGTTTATTTTTTCTTGAAAAAATAAACACATGATGACTCTTGGGGACGCTCTGGAGTATTTCCTGATTTTTTTTTTTTATCTGATTTATGGACGCTGCTGGATAAGAAGATTCTGGGAAAGTCGCAATAAATCTACAAATATAAAATTAGATGTTTAGCAAGATGTTTTCAAGCACGCCTTGGAAGCCTAAATAATACCTGATGGCAATAAAAGCAGGAACACAACAAATGTCTCACAGACTTAGATAAGGGTTTAAAAGATCTCAAACCTGCAAGCTGCCACTGACTGTGGATAACGTCACACAGCACTGATGTGAGAACAGCGTAGGCATGGTCTGGAGGACTCATGGTAAGTGGGCAGCATGACGTGTCCTGTCCCATGCACAGTCTACTCAGGCAGCAGCTTCTCTTGAACCAAACCGAGTACTTTCAGTACCACTGTGTGCTATATGTAAGGAGCGGACAATGCCCTGACCTGATTGTGCCAACACTGTTCAAAGCTCATGTGGAAAAACGGTACTACAGGAGTCAGGAAGCAGACTCCTTATTACTTTAGAACCCCAGCATGTAATGTGTCCTTTCAGTAATGCTGCTTCAAGCCTCTCCCTCTATTTTTACTTTGGAAAACATCTCATCTGCCACAAACAGGAAAAACGGTATAACCAAAAACAGCAAAATGGAACCTAACCCAGCCATGTGACAGTGGATTACATCACAAATTAAAAAGGTATTCTTAAAGTTAAGCAGGAGGCATGAATCCTTTCGCCGAATAACCTCAATAAACTCACTCTTTTACATTCTTTAATTTATAAAGTTAAGTAGAAATGTTTCCCATCCGTTAACAAAAGGAGTTAAAACCTTCATTTAAAACAAACGACACTCCTTTCAAACTCCTATCTCTCTTCCTGCCTTCATTTACTAAAAACCACATTTTACTTTACGGGCCTTGTGTGGGGAGGGCTGATTCGTTAACAAGAAAAACACCATTGTCTGGGTTAGACAGAAAAAAAATACACAGACTGAGGGAAAAGCTGTTTCTGGTCTCTTTCCCTGGTTTTTCTGTCAGAGGGGACAGATCTGTTCATTTATCTGTTTCATTTCCAGATACAACTTAAGATTTACACACAATGTAATGATGCTTTCTCTGACAAGGATACAGTGGGGCAAAAAAGTATTTAGTCAGCCACCGATTGTGCAAGTTCCCCCACTTAAAATGATGACAGAGGTCAGTAATTTGCACCAGAGGTACACTTCAACTGTGAGAGACAGAATGTGAAAAAAAAATCCATGAATCCACATGGTAGGATTTGTAAAGAATTTATTCGTAAATCAGGGTGGAAAATAAGTATTTGGTCAATAACAAAAATACAACTCAATACTTTGTAACATAACCTTTGTTGGCAATAACAGAGGTCAAACGTTTACTATAGGTCTTTACCAGGTTTGCACACACAGTAGCTGGTATTTTGGCCCATTCCTCCATGCAGATCTTCTCGAGAGCAGTGATGTTTTGGGGCTGTCGCCGAGCAACACCGACTTTCAACTCCCGCCACAGATTTTCTATGGGGTTGAGGTCTGGAGACTGGCTAGGCCACTCCAGGACTTTCAAATGCTTCTTACAGAGCCACTCCTTTGTTGCCCGGGCGGTGTGTTATGGATCATAGTCATGTTGGAAGACCCAGCATCGTTTCATCTTCAAAGTTCTCACTGATGGAAGGAGGTTTTGGCTCAAAATCTCACGATACATGGCCCCATTCATTCTGTCCTTAACACGGATCAGTCGTCCTGTCCCCTTGGCAGAAAAACAGCCCCATAGCATGATGTTTCCACCCCCATGCTTCACAGTAGGTATGGTGTTCTTGGGATGCAACTCAGTATTCTTCTTCCTCCAAACACGACGAGTTGAGTTTATACCAAAAAGTTCTACTTTGGTTTCATCTGACCACATGACATTCTCCCAATCCTCTGCTGTATCATCCATGTGCTCTCTGGCAAACTTCAGACGGGCCTGGACATGCACTGGCTTCAGCAGCAGAACACGTCTGGCACTGCGGGATTTGATTCCCTGCCGTTGTAGTGTGTTACTGATGGTGACCTTTGTTACTTTGGTCCCAGCTCTCTGCAGGTCATTCACCAGGTCCCCCCGTGTGGTTCTGGGATCTTTGCTCACCGTTCTCATGATCATTTTGACCCCACGGGATGAGATCTTGCGTGGAGCCCCAGATCGAGGGAGATTATCAGTGGTCTTGTATGTCTTCCATTTTCTGATGATTGCTCCCACAGTTGATTTTTTCACACCAAGCTGCTTGCCTATTGTAGATTCACTCTTCTCAGTCTGGTGCAGGTCTACAATACTTTTCCTGGTGTCCTTCGAAAGCTCTTTGGTCTTGGCCATGGCGGCGTTTGGAGTCTGACTGTTTGAGGCTGTGGACAGGTGTCTTTTATACAGATGATGAGTTCAAACAGGTGCCATTCATACAGGTAACGAGTGGGGGACAGAAAAGCTTCTTACAGAAGACGTTACAGGTCTGTGAGAGCCAGAGATTTTCCTTGTTTGAGGTGACCAAATACTTATTTTCCACCCTAATTTACCAATAAATTCTTTACAAATCCTACCATGGGATTCATGGATTTTTTTTTCACATTCTGTCTCTCACAGTTGAAGTGTACCTCTGGTGCAAATTACTGACCTCTGTCATTATTTTAAGTGGGGGAACTTGCGCAATCGGTGGCTGACTAAATACTTTTTTGCCCCACTGTATGTCTCTGCATTAAATTTGATATTAAAAACACAGCCCTGATTTATCGAGCCATGAAAAAACAACGATTTCCAGCTACTGGGATGTTTTTTGTTTTGTTTTTTTAAAAAGCAATTTTCTTGGTTCTGCGTGTTTACAGCCTAAAATCTCATTCTTAAACCCGTCTGTAATCTGTTGAAAACTAACTGGTATAAAAAACTGAATGCAAAAACATAAAATAACTTTGTTAAAGCTAATTGGTTTATTGTCTTGGTTTATGCAAAACAGTAGGCACTTTCTGTGGTCACCCTCCAGATATCCAGAGCCCATAAACATGAAACAAGACAGAAATCTCATAAATGTGCAAAGGTTGAATATTGTTTGGTTTGCAAGGGTCTTAAATGTTGCCTCCAAATCTATCTAGAAAGAGAACCCTGCACACACAAAGTCCATCTGCCCTGTAAAACACAGCAGTGTCACTTCTACATTGCAGTTACTCAACACTGGCTTGTTTTCAGATACAACAGCAAACACACTGCACATTGTGGAAAAATTGCTGGGACAGATCCACTGAGATCAGACTGGTACTCATCGTGAACACCCGCAGCCTCACTGGTGGGTTCTGAATTGTGTAAATCTTTAAGGATAAAAAATAAAGCCTACATTTCTTCCGGTTTAATCCGGAAACACTTTGTGAATGTGTGCAAAAAAATGCTTAAAAGGTGTATATATAAAATGTCTCTGATTGTTACATCAAAAGAAAAAAAATGTTAATCATATGGATCTACATAAAGTTTAGGCTGTGGTAGCTGCTCTGCTACAGTATATTTAGCTCAGGTAAGTTGGATGAGTCAAAGCAGAGGCCATGGCTTGGCTGTGTTCACAGTGCTCATTTGGGTGGTATAAGGAAACAGTTGGCAAACATAGCATGCCAGGTTTTGATCGTTCTGTTGGCACATCAAGACAGCACACGGGCTTGGTGGTCAGCGCCATCGTTTCACAGCAAGGAGAGTCCTAAATTTGGATTTCTGTCCTTTTCTAAAGTTCGTATAGGTTCCTTCACAGGTTAGGTTAGAACTCCTGTATCCCTAAAGGACAGTTTTAGTAAAAATACCAGAAGCACTGGTTTCATTTTGTATTAAAAAAGTACTTTGAAAAGAAAAGAATAAACCCTTGGGTTTTTAAGAAAGGGTTTAATATACTGAATCAAATTTGTTCCTGAAAGCTGAGGACTGAGTTAAGAGCCGTTGCATAAATTATTTATACACTTTTTCTGATGCCATAAAACTATTAAGTGTCCCTGTAGAGCGGCATTTGGCTGAGGTATCTAGTTTTTATTATGAAGAGTATCGAGAGACTTCTGGCAGAGATGGCTTGATTGTTGGCAGGGGAAAGCCAGCAGGGTTGGTCACAAGCTGACCATCTGCTTTATTCTGGATTTATTATTACTGCACCAACAGAAACAAACAGAGACAAAGCTACCACTTCATCAGCTCTACAGCAGTGCTATTAGGAGTTAAATAGACTGAAAAACTAATCGCAACCACTGCAGATCAATCTGAATGATCGAATACAATTTGATTGCTGAACCTTACAGTGTATTGTTTTGGTATAATCTCATACAAATTCACAAAAATTGGCTTATGGCTTCCACATAAAGCTTTATAAGTGAAATGTGACAACTCCTGTGTGAGTTTACTGCCTCACAGCTTTAAAGTTAAACGAGCTCCTGCAGAGCTGAAAATACAAATCTCCTCTTTCACCGTCATTCACTCTCCTCAGGGTTTTGTCGGCTTCATAATGTCTTACAGCTCACCTCCCTGGCTTTTAATAATTTCTTTTATTAAACTGTGAAAACAGGAATAAAATGACAAAATAAACAGATAATAAACAGGCAATGCCCACTTAATACAATGAAAATATAAATAATAAAATAATAAATACAAATGGCTCCAACTTAATGGCTCCAAACTGACTTATCTGGCTTGTCTAACTATGTACACCACAGTGACTCCGCCCCTTTCCCCTTCTTTGCCCCAAGTGCTGTTTTGATGAGATTTTTTTTCCATTTGTTATTTAATGAAGGCAATCCCAACGACTGCATCTCCAGTGAGATACACTCATCACATACAGCAAATCATAGATCCATGGAGCAATAATCTGTGCAGTAATACTCACAACAACAATGAAAAAGCCACAAATCAATGTGTTCCTGAATCTGACTATTGACTGTGTGCTGACCTGCAAACATATACCAAACTCAATCTCAGAGTGAATTAGAGGGTTGTGATGCTGATGTATTGGAAGCAGAGTAGTTTAAACTGACATAAATATATTTTTATAAATAAGAACCTCTCCCTTAAAACACCAAATCAAATTTTTTCACTATGCTGGCTTTTTAGGTGTAAAACTAGTCATGGAGAGGTTCTCTTTCCCCAAATCACAACTATTACAGTTCAAACCATTAATCCTTTTCCACAGAAATAGCCAAATAAGTTCAGCCTAAACACTGCCATGTGAACTCTTCTTGAAATCCTAAAAGATGAAATGGAAACTTGCATAGTCACTGGAACATTTTTGTTTCAACTTTACTCTTCTCTTTTGGGACACAGAGTCCACACCCTGGTAGGAAGATCAGGGATGCCCTCGTTTCAGTGAAATTCAAACCAGTCACACGGAAAGGGAAGTCTGACTTCAGACTAATATTATTCAAACACACTTGCATTTTTCCAGAGGGAAAATATAGATGCATGCTTGTGTGTCACATGTGCGTACCTTGCTGTCCAGTTTTTTCATAGTAACGAGGTCCAGGGACTTGAGGGAGTGTCCTGTCGGGGCAATGAAATAAAGGCAGATGTGGATCCTGGTGTCGTGGTAGTTAAACAGCGAGCGTTTGATCTTCAGCTCTTCCTGGAGATAGTTTTCAAACTGAGTGTCAATGTAGTCAACAATGGGTTTGTAACTGTGGAGAGAGGAAGGGAGAAGAGAGAAACCGTTAGGATTTATGTCTGTGGGTCAAAGCTAAATATTTGTCTTCTTATTCATGCGCTGGTAATGAATATGAAAAGGGAAAGGGGACTTTTCACAGGGAAAGGAAAAGGCACAGATATGTTTTCAGTAACTGTGTGATCTGATTCAATGCCAAGATCTCAGCTTAGAATTGCACAGCTTAGTGCTGCATGAAATTTGTGTTCAGCTTATGGAAGGTCCAATCAAAGAGGCTGCAGAAAACAACGCGTCCTCTCTATCACAGAGCTGTGACCGCTTTCGGAGCCTTTAAGTGTCACCAGTAAATCAGTGAAGGGCACGAACACAAAGTAACACATCGTCGTCTTTACAGCCTTTTCTCCTCGAGCATTTGCGAGAAAGGACAGGAGAGATGGGGAGTGCCTTTAATGCTACACCACTCGCTCACAGCTACTTGACTATACAGCTAAATGTCAGAAAATGTTACTTACATTGCATTAAAATAACACATTTCTGTTGGTTATTGCTCCAGTACAGTTGGTTTCTATAAGCTGTTTTCAATCTTTTAACCACAAAAGCCGGTGACCAGCCTCATTGGGATGTTTTGAATCACATTCACACCAGACTTGTTTATTTGAGTCTGCAGCTTTAACTCGTTTCATTTGGGAAGATGAGAAGAAAACCATTAGAAGGAAGCCACATGCTTAAATAAAAAACTAAGCGAACTGTTGGTTCATTAGTCATAGTAGATAACGTCACACAGTCATAGTCTGGTTCTCACATCAACACTTGTCATTTTCTGGCTATATATCTCTACAATTATGATCATCTACATATGAGATGTTCAGTAAATTTGTTTGTATTGAACAGATGTCTCCAGACGAATTCCTCCGTTTATCTCATGCTGTTATATTTGGACACTGCACAACCAACTCAAACACTGTATGTTTTTCTTGCTCTGGATAGTAGAAGGGCTTGAAAACAACTGCAACCAGTGTCAAACATCTTTAACACCTCCTGAATCCATATTCAGTCACATAGACTTCAAAGTGCCTCGGAGTGACCAAAATGCAACCCAGATGCTCATGTTTAACATGCGTCTGCAAAAGTAAAAGTGATAATGATGACATTTTGTCTTTAGAAAACAACGAACTCTGAGAAACAAGCCCAAAAAACAGGGCTACAAGGACATAGCTGTTTTGTTTCTTTTAGAATTAATAGGAAGCAGTTCCCTTGTGTGCTCTGGAAAGATGCAGTTTAACACTAAAGATGGAAAATCGTGACACAGTCCTGTTACGTTTAATCTAAGAGCTTGAATGTGATTTCTACAAACTCTCTGACCTAAAGCCATTAATTCCAAGTTTTTCCCTGTTAACCATCACCATACACTACTTCCATCTTTTCTAAACATGACAAATAACTGAAAATGACATCATCTTGTCCACTGTTCAACTCCGGATGTGCCACTTCACTGATGTTTTACAACTCAAAAGTGACACATAAGTAGAACAGGAAAAAAATGTATTCCATTCCCTCAGCTTGCAACATGTTTACAGTCATCTGTCCTCTCACTTCACATCCATCTTCAATCTTCTCTGAGGAATGCACAAACTGTGACCTTTTGAAGCTCTCTCAGTGTGCCGTTACACTCCGCTGCAGGCTCTGTCCTTCGCCATGTTGGTTTAAACGGTCTACAGAGAAAGCTGCTATCAAAGAGCGTGAGAGTGCTGCTTCCTGGCTAGGCCACAACAAGTACACTTCATTCCACAGCTGAATGTTAAAATAAACAAATCAACAATTTCCTCTTTATTTCTCCAACTTCCTTCAATTTCAGCCTTCGGAGACACCATAAAAGATGCAGAAGTCTGGACTGACAGTGGTTTGTGTGTCTGGGTCAATCGTTTGCCTACGTAAGCATCTTTTCATTAAAAATGTGTCAATGTCATTTTGGAGCTTGCCGATTTTTGGGGAAATACTTACAGGGAAATCTGCTTTTACAACAGACCAAAGGAAATCACAGTCAATTCGTTTTTTTTACTTCTGCTTTTGGCTTATGGGATAATGCAGAGATATATTTGTGATCATCATTGTTCGTTTTTGTTGCTGGTTACCAAGCAGGTCTGGATACTTTGTGAGGCACTCTGGGCTGCATGTATGTGCACTTAGCTCACCTATCCTCTTTGTTGATCTGATCGCCGAAGCCAACCGTGTCAACAATGGTCAGTTTGAGGCGGACGTTGGTTTCTTGCAGGTCGTATGTTCGAGGCCGCAGATACACGCCGTTCTGGTAATGGCTCGCCTCTTCGTTCTCAAACATGGTGTTAAAGAGCGTGTTCATTAACGTCGACTTTCCGATACCAGTCTCCCCTGTGAACGGTCGGAAGCAGAGAGGGAGATGGAGAAAGAGAGAGTGCGTTAGCATCACTTGGGACTACTTCATCAGCTTTCAAACATCGATTTCTATTGCTGTAACAGAAGTGTAAGCCAGTGTATTACGTTCATGTCAAGAAATACAACACAGTGCTGCTGTTTGTTATTTATCTTTGTAGCTAAACATTTCACTCAGTGCAAAGTAAATCAACACGAGGGCCAGAGGGACTCTGGAGAAATGTACAGTAGTTACACATTCTCTGTCCGATACTCACCTACACATAGGATGTTGAAACAAAAACCCTGCGTGACCGATTTGCTGACCAGCTGCTCAGGGAGGCTGTCAAACCCAACATGGCCACCCAAACTGAGGTTACGCTTCTCTTCATTCTACAGGACACACACAAAAAAAATATATATATATATATCAGAAGTGTGGCGGATGTCAGGAAAACACATGGCCGAGTCATTATTCAGAAGAGGATGGCACAGATACTGAAGCGCTCACATTCCAATGCGAGGAAACATCAAAGACCTTCTGCTCATTCTGCACATGTAAAATCCATCACATTATGATTTAGGTAATCGGGGCCTGCAGTGAGGATGAGCTTCAAGAATAATCACTCAGAAGCACAAAGAAGAAAGACATGCTTTAACAGACAGAGGAAGGAAGTGATTATATTTGTATGGAAAATGGAATAAGGCACTTGAAAACATGCAAGATGCAAGTTAGCAGCTTGTTTTATAGAAAACCCCAATGTGGACATTTCAGAACTCCACCAGTCCACCTATTCTCCAAACAAGCTCATGATCAATTTATCAGTTATTACACACTATAATAGAAATATATCGTTAATAGTGGGATGATAACAGCAGGTACAGAAGAGGCACCCGGGCTGCCTTATCTGCAACACCTTCGTCAGGTTTGATCTGTGGGATCCCCTGCCACTTCAAGAGCAGCTGGGAGATTTAATCCCTCTACTTCGAACCTCCGCCCTGCTGGAGGTGCATTGTGCACCTCTAAAAAAAGGAGCACCCACAGGGCATCCTTATGAGAAGGCTAAATCAGCTCAACTGACTCATCTCACCGTTTAGGATCACAGGGATATTTCAGCAGGTTGTATCAGTGATCTTGCTCTTTCAGTCGTTTCTCAAAGCTCATGACCATCGGTGACATAGATCGAACAGTAAATCGAGTGCTTTGACTTCTGATTAAATTCTTTCCCCACTGCTGAGGTGAAGTAAGATGCCCACAGATGTCCAAAAAAACAGCCACGGAAGTATTTAACCTAAAACACAAAAGTTAGCAATGCACGACAAACTAAAAACCACCAGAAAAAAAAACAACAACAACAAATCAGGAGGGTTGTAACCTTTTTTCACATTTGATCTAGCTCATTTAACCAATCTCAGCCAAAGAAGAGAGTTAAAGCTGTACAAGAGGGCCAGCACCTTGAGATGAATAGGGCCACCCGATCTCATCTGGCTGAGCCACGAAGGACTGCATACTTGAAAGCTGAAGTCACCAAGCACAGGCAGCTGAGAGCAGAGCACAGCCAACAATACAGAACTGAGAGGTGGAGGCAGGCTCCAAATACACAGAAGATGACTTTTAAACCTAACTGAACTGCATAATACAGGCTGGAAAGTGTGTGTGTGTGTGTGTGTGTGTGTGTGTGTGTGTGTGTGTGTGTGTGTGTGTGTGTGTG